GGGGGTGGAGGCAGCGTGTTCCCAGGGGGGGCGGAGTGAGGGAGGGGTTTGGGTGGGGGGTGCCCGGGGAGGGGGAATGGGGTGCCCGGAGGGGGCAGAGGCAGCCTGTTCCCGGGGGGTGCCCGTTCCCGGGACGGGGCGGCGATGCCCGGCTCTAGTCTCTGGCCGGCGCTGTGGGGTCCCCCGGGTAGGTGCTGGAGCAATACGGGGCTGAGAGCCATTGAGCCAGACTGTAACCCCGTATACATGGAAACCCCCACAAGCCGGGGGTGGGGGGGGCAGCGCTCCAAGCTCCAGCCCCTGGGCGCCTGGGTGAAGCCGTGTCTGGTGATGATCTTCCTTCCCCCCATGCTCCTTGACAGCTTCCTGCACAGCTGTGCTCCAAGGATGGGTCCCGGGAGCTTGGGGAGCCTCCCCCCACACTGCCCACGGTAAGGCCGGGGCGGCGCTCTGGCTCGCTGGGCCTGTCTGCATTTCACAGTGTCAGCGTGTTCGGTGCCGTTTGCTGGCCCGATGCGGCCATGGCTGAGTGCTCAGTCGAGACCAGGACTTCTGTCCAGCATCACTCAGCTAGTTGTACATCAACCTTGCGAGGGGCCAGGCTGCTGTGCTCTGGGTGGGTGGGTCAGTGTGAGGCAGAGGGGGCCAGGAGTCTGTTGCATTTGTGTTAGTAAGGTGTTAACAGAGCCAGGGAGACTCAGCCTGGCTAGCGGCTACACAGAACAAAAGGCCGCCCCTGAGGAACCTGCACGTGTCAGAAGACATCAGCAGAAACCTTCTGATACCAGTTCAGCCAATGTTGCTCCACTGGGTCAGTCCCAGGGAATCCCATCCCTGTGTGACACCTGCTTAAACCCTGAAGGGTGGGTGGGGCCCCTGCAGGTGACTGCTGACTGAACTGCTGCTGGGAATTTTCTTCCCATAGCTCCCCCTCTTCTTTGCAGCCTTAGTAATCCAATCCAATCCTCTTGCTTTTGCGGGTTCTCCCTTATGACTAGAACAGTGTCATTTGCAGCACAGCTACCCCCACACAGTGGTGCTCTTTCACAGCGTAGACAGGCCCCAAAGGGTCACTTTTTTAACCAGCAGCTCCGTGATGTACTAACAGGAGATGGACTCGGTTGTGAGGAACACAAACATCTCTACAGAGACTGACTCTGGCTGGTGTTTTCTTCTAACCTTGCAGGTGGGCACAAATCTAACTGACCTTCTGATCCAGAAGAAGATCACGATTCGGGAGCTGGGGGGCTGCATGGGCCCTATCTGGCCTAGTTACTATGGAGACTGCAGCTCTGTCCTGGTGAGTGCACATCCCTTGGGTCTAGATTCTGAATGTGACCTTTTTCTGGCCCATCACCAACATCTAACCCAACAGTCCATTGGCTCAGGCTACATTGGAACTGCCTTGCACTGCATGTGGAGGGCCGATTGACCCACCATGTCTGAGTAATGGTAACAGCTCCCTCTGGGAGAGGGAGATACATCCCATTGTACAGCTGGGCAGGCAGAGGCAGAGAGAGAGAGGAAGTGACTTGCCCAAGACCCCACAGCAAGTCAGTGGCAGAATGAAATAGAACCCAGGAGTCCTGGCCATGCTCAGACCACGCTGCCTCTTGTCACTGTGTAAAGTTGTTTGCATTGTAATGCTCACTCAAGGGGAAATCACTGGTGTTTAGACATAATTAGGCCTGGCAGAAATAGATTTTTTTAAATAATTTCAGCAAATAATATCACTGTTTATTTTTAAGCATTTTTTCAAATTGTTATTGATTTAAATTTTTACAGTTGCAGAAAATGGGGGGGAGGGGGTGTCAGACAATTCTCTGAGTCTCTCACATTCTCAAGCAACATTTTTCTTACTTTGCCTATCTGTAAATTTGACTTGTCAATGGAAATAATTTTTCACCCGTTTGTGTGTACAGTGAAATCAACACTTACTGACACTTATTGAAAACTCTAACCCTTCCACAGTAGCACAGGTCCTACTGTCCCTGCCCAAAGCCCTCGAATGAGTGGAACTGGCCATGGAGTGAGGGAATGCCTCACCTCAGGGCCAGACTCTTCACTGGCCTTCCATTTTTCATGCCTCAGCTTCTCCCTGCAACTTACCACTCAGGGCTCGTGAGATCCCTCTGGATCACCTTGTGGGCTTGAGTCTAATCTCACTCACCCATTTTACAGCAGGGTGACTCCATCATCTCGAGCTGTGCTACTCCTGAGCAACTGGGGCCCTGTGTGTTTATAGGCATGGCTGGGGGGGCACATCACCATCAAGTGGCCTGTGGAGTGAGGCTCCAAATCCAGGGAAGGGCCCCCAGAACTCTACACCAGGGCTTCTCACTTCATTTCTGTCGTGTTTTAATCTCCTCCCACTCCCCGTTCTGGAGCTGGTCTGTGGGGTAACCCGCATCTCCCAAGCGACTGCCTTACATTTTAATTAATTCCCCACCTGGATCTTTCACTCTGCTTCTTCCCAGTTCATGATTGATGCGGCTAACCCCACCCAGATCTCTTCATCCTGCATCCAGCTCCTGTCACTCCTCTCCGCAGAGCAGCTTGCCTCGGCATCCGTCCTGATCCTGTTCAATAAGATGTAAGGCAAGGATTCCTCCAGGCTGAAAGTGATCAGTCTCCATGGGGGAGGGCAAAGGGAGGAAATCTGGGACTCCTGGTGCAGTCACTTTTTGCCTATATCATCATCATCTGCAGCCAGATAAGTCCCTGAGAGGCAGGTAGGCTGGGGGGAATACTCTACCCATTTCAGATTATCTATTTCATCTGGTCCCACTGAGGGCCCTCTGTCATCCCATAGCAACCAGCTGCAGCACTAGAGGTGCTGCTTCTGTTTCCCCAACCTGTCTTTGTAACCAAGTCCAAACAAGCTTGCATTGAAGAATATTCCTTTAATTAACAGGACAAATCCCAAACAAGGAAAGAGCTTCCACTCAGGTCCTGGGTCCCACTCCTAGCTCCAGAGTTGGAGATTCCTCTTACATGGTCTCTGTATCTTCCTTGTTCACAACACCCCTCCCCCCAGCTCTCCTCCCCAGATCTGGAGTACTGTTCTCACCAGTCCTTCTGCCCTTAACATAAAATAAAACCTCATGGCCTTCCCAGTGCTCCCCAGAGCTGGGCAGTACTCTCACCAGTCCCTTGGCTAACATAGCATAAAGATCTCACCCAGTTCTACTCCCCAGAGCTGGGATTCAGCTCTCATCCATTTTCCCATGATTGTATCGGGAATGCTCCCCTTGTTTCTTGCCTGGGGTCTCCTCTGTCCAGGAGGCCTCCCGATCACCTTGCTAGGTTCCCTTCCTTACTGAGTTCTGGCTATTTTATTACAGTCAGGTGCATCCCTAATTGAGGACTAATCAACCACATGGGCAATCAGTTAACCCCAGGACTGGCTGACCAGCCTTAGTTCTGGGTAAATTGGCCCTAATTCTCTCTAAAGGGCCAGTCACCCTGTGCAGCCCCTTGCAGGGATCACTCAACAGAAATGGCAAATTCCAGTTGCTCTAAGTTGGGTCACTGATGGTTTAGCACAATCTCTCTCTCTCCCTTTCTTCCTATTCCCAAATGTGGCTCCAGCGACCTGCCCTGCTACATGTCCCTGGTGGAGATGAAATCACTGTTCCGGATTCAAGATATCATTTCCTGTGCTAACCAGCCCATCACTGTGGTGGAGACCAGCGCCCGTGATGGCACGGGGCTGTCCGATGTGCTGCAATGGCTTCGCTCCACCCTCAAGGATCCCAGTTGAATTTGCTGTGTCCAGCTTTGGTGTTTCCTGCCAGCTGACGGGAGCTGACTCTGACTCCAGGCAGCTCACACCTACTCTGTCATCAAGACTAGGATCCAGGAGCAGTAGAGGTAGCTGAGCAGCAGTCTCATCAGCCCTCCACCTGGGAATGAGAGTGGGGGAGGGCAGCAACAAGACTGAGTGTGCCCCCAGCAGGTTGGTGGTAGCAGTGGAGCTGCCTCAGACTTTTGGTACCTTGAATTGCAAAGTAAACTGTGAACTCAGGACTTTCTCCCATTCGTTCCAGACTGTCAGTCAGCCTGCTTGCCCCCGGGGCAGGAGGAACGTACTGCTGGGGGGCTGGGATGTGCAGAGACCACAGCCTCGTGTTTACTAGGGTACCTTTGCCCCGTGACTCCCCTGTCCTTGGCAGCCTTGCTGATGGAGTGCCCCGCCCCACCTTTTCCTGCTTTGACTGCTGGCCCTCTGCTGCTCCTAGGCTAGGAGGTAATGGGCCTGCCCACTGGAGCCCATCTGCAGGCAGGAGCTCTGTGGAGGGGTTTGTTAGTAATTAAACATTGCTATCAGTTTATTAAAGAGCAGAGTGTAGTTCCCTTCTCCCTCTGATTTAATGCCGTGTCTTCCGAGGGCAGGCCACTTTAGGCTTCTTAGCCATATACATAACTGTTATTAAAATGCCTCAAAAGGCCTGTGAGGGGCTTCCCAGATGCACAAGTCCCTGCCCCAAAACTTCAAGTAAAACCAGGTGAGTTTATTTACATACAGCAAAAACAGTCAATCTGCCCAGGACTCCAAACCCATATCCAATAGACCAAACTTGTACTGTTTGCATTGCATTAGCACCTAAGGGCCCCCCTGTGCTGGGGGCTGTATCAACAGCTAGGAAGAACAGGTCCCTCAGCAGAAGCGTTTACAGTTTAATGTAAAGCCACCTTCATGCCCACCACCTGCATTTCCAGTACAGCAGGCTGTAGTCCCGAGGTTCCAGACACACGAGGTCTATTTCTGTGTAAGGGGAAGCATCTTCCACCAAGTGAGGAGGAAGAGTCTGGTCTTAAGTGGGAGCATACAGTATGCCCTCGCTCTAAGGAACCCCTGGGAATCCAAGCCATTTGGTCGTTGTAGCTAGGGGTTTGTTATAGGGAAAGAGCCCTGCTGGGAGGGGCTGACACCTCAAGCCCTGCAGCAGAGCTGAGAGCTCCTCTGGTCCCGGAACCGCAGCTGGGGCCCTGGGGCCAGAGGCGCAATCTGCCCGGCCGTGACCGCAGGGCAGGCAGAGCGCTCTGCCCCCCGGGCGGGGCTGGAGGTGGGATCCAGGGACCAGGTGTGCTATTGTGAAGGGCGTTATAGTGAGGGTGTACTATACTTGGTGATCCTTGTCCAGGGAGGTGGGGCTTGGACACTCTGCAGCCATCCCGAGGGACAGTTTGTGCAAAGAGAAGAGGTCTCACTCCAGCTCATGACAGTTTCTGGTAATGGGGAATTCACAGTTGGGTGTCTGTCACTGACCGTCTCTGAACTCTGAAGGTGTCCCCCATGGCTCTGTTCGCTCCGGTATCCCCAGAGAGTGCCGCTGGCCAAGTCAGAGCTGTGAGTGTTAGACTAGGTGGGAAGCATCATCACCAGCTAAATGTCTGAAGGGTGTGAACAGCTGAGAGGGAGCGGAATTGTTCCCAGGGGACCCATGCAGAATAACAGCGGGGAAGGAGATCATGATATTAAGAAAAGGAAAATTGGGAGAAAGCTTCTTGCCAGGGAGACGGCTCAGGCTGTGGAATAGCCCCCAAGCGAAGGGCTGGCTGAAGCACTAGCGAATGTGCAATAAGAAGCAATCGTGTATTGGTCCCTGGGGGATGGATTAGATGGGGCCCAAGACTGCAGCTCTATTGCAGGAAGGGACTAGTTCTAAATGGAGCCTCCCACAAACACTGACAGGCTCCAAAGATAGAGCAGCCTCCAGTGTTGGAGCGATAGGCTAGTCACTGGGGTCTCAGTGGAGAGCCTGGACCGGGGCTGCATCAAAGCCGTAGCAAGTCTCCTTTGTTTCTCTTTTCTCCTTGATGGTCAGGAGGTGGCGTAGGCTGAATTACCAATCAAACAGCTTCAGAGACACACGAGCTGTGTGCCCCCCTCTACCACAATCCTTATCCAGTTAGACTCTGGGGGGCATGCTCCCTCCAGCACACAGACCCTGTACAAGGGAGGGGCAGGGCTGGGGGGTGTCCCCATAGCATATGCACTCTGGGCAGTCTCTGCTGCTGTGGGCTGTGTTGGAGGGGGAGGTAGAACCAGAGCAGCCTGTGACCCCTGCAACAGCCCCCAATCAGGAGGGTGCCGGAGCTGCACAGAATGCCAGCCTGACTCCCCCATCGCTGCCACTCTCAGTCACTGGAGATTGAAAAACTGTAATGGCTTGGCCTTGAACTGTCTTGACCTCAGCTTCTGAATAAGCTTTGCTTTAACTTTTGCCTCGATTTCACCTGTGAAGTCCCTCTCTATGGCTTCATAGTTTAGAGGGGGTGTGCTTGTTGACCGAACCCCCTCCTCCACCACTCTGGTCCCCAGCAGGAGCTTGCTCAAGGACTCCACCTCAGCGCAGTTCCCATACTGCCACTTGCCCCCGTTTGTGAGGGCGAAGGGAGGGGGCCGAAAGTTCACGTTCCTAAACAATTGCTGACACTTCTCACAGGGTGACTTCTCCTGATACTTTTGTTCTTTAACACTAAACTGAAAGGCCTTGCTCCACACTCCCTCAGGGAAAGTGATGGCCAGGCCAGTGCCCCCATGATACACTGCATAGGCCATGGCCTTGTGCCATGTTTCTACAGAGGACAATGCAATCATGATGCATCTTTCGTGGCGCCCCTTACATGAGAGGGAAGCGCCATAGAAGCGGTGGAGGTCAGCGCCACCCTGCGGATCATCGTAGAAGCAGCAAGCGATAACTGAGGCTGTAAAGGTGAACTCAGTGGCATCCAGCGCATGAGGTCCCTCCTCCGGTGATTGATTCCACAGTTTCGCATTAAAGCTCTGCAGAAAGCTCATTAGCTCCTCGGGGGTATTGAAACGTTTCACTTCTGTCACCTGGGAACATACATCATTAGTCACTAAGACTCTGCATCCGGTATTTGCTCCATGTTCCACTCCCCAAGGGATGACGACATTCTTCAGCAGAAGAAAACGCCCAGAGTAGCAGGACAAACTAGCACCTCTTGAAAACCAGAATGTTGCGCCTGTGTCAGGCACAGAGTAGTTAAACAGCAGTTGGTCACTATAACGATGGGAACTCTCAAGAAGTCTGTGACAAAGTCCCTCATAGGAGCCATTTAAAGACACGATGTAGTCATAAGGGCAAGAGGGAAAGTGCTATCTTGGGGCACAGATTGGCTACAAAACAGAAACCTAAGAACATAAGAGTGGCCAGACTGGGTCAGACCAATGGGCAATCTAGCTCAGAGGATACTGTCACAATACAGACAGGACAAACAGTGGCCAATGCCAGGTGCCCCAGAGGGAATGAACAGAACAGGGAATCACCAAGTGATCCATCCCCTGTCGCCCATTCCCAGCTTCTGGCAAACAGAGGCTAGGGACACCATAAGAACATAAGAAGAACACATAAGAACATAGGAACGGCCATACTGGGTCAGACCAAAGGTCCATCCAGCCCAGTATCCTGTCTACCGACAGTGGCCAATGCCAGGTGCCCCAGAGGGAGTGAACTTAACAGGTAATGATCGAGTGATCTCTCTCCCGTCATCCATCTCCACCCTCTGACAAACAGAGGCTAGGGACACCATTCCTTACCCGTCCTGGCTAATAGCCATTAATGGACTTAACCTCCATGAATTTATCCAGTTCTCTTTTAAACCCTGTTATAGTCCTAGCCTTCACAACCTCCTCAGGCAAGGAGTTCCACAAGTTGACTGTGTGCTGTGTGAAGAAGAACTTCCTTTTATTTGTTTTAAACCTGCTGCCCATTAATTTCATTTGGTGGCCCCTAGTTCTTGTATTATGGGAACAAGTAAATAACTTTTCCTTATTCACTTTCTCCACACCACTCATGATTTTATAGACTTCTATCATATCCCCCCTTAGTCTCCTCTTTTCCAAGCTGAAAAGTCCTAGCCTCTTTAATCTCTCCTCATATGGGACCTGTTCCAAAACCCTAATCATTTTAGTTGCCCTTCTCTGAACCTTTTCTAGTGCCAGTATATCTTTTTTGAGATGAGGAGACCACATCTGTACACAGTATTCAAGATGTGGGCATACCATGGATTTATATAAGGGCAATAAGATAGTCTCCGTCTTATTCTCTATCCCTTTTTTAATGATTCCTAACATCCTGTTAGCTTTTTTGATTGTCGCTGCACATTGAGTGGATGTTTTCAGAGAACTATCCAAAATGACTCCAAGATCTTTCTTGAGTGGTAGCAGCGAATTTAGACCCCATTATTTTATATGTATAGTTGGAATTATGTTTTCCAATGTGCATTACTTTGCATTTATCAACATTGAATTTCATCTGCCATTTTGTTCCCCAGTCACCCAGTTTTATGAGATCTCTTTGTAACTCTTTGCAGTCAGCTTTGGACTTAACTATCTTGAGTAGTTTTGTATCATCTGCAATTTTGCAACCTCGCTGTTTACCCCTTTTTCTGGATCATTTATGAATATGTTGAACAGTACTAGTCCCAGTACAGACCCCCTAGGGAATACCCCTATTTACCTCTCTCCATTCTGAAAACTGACCATTTATTCCTACCCTTTGTTTCCTATCTTTTAACCAGTTACTGATCCATAAAAGGACCTTCACTCTTATCCCATGACTGCTTACTTTGCTTAAGAGCCTTTGGTGAGGGACCTTGTCAAAAGCTTTCTGAAAATCTAAGTACACTGTATCCACTGGATCCCCCTTGTCCATATGCTTGTTGACCCCCTCAAATAATTCTAGTAGATGGGTGAGGCATGATTTCCCTTTACAAAAAAACACATTGACTCTTCCCCAACATATTGTGTTCATCTATGTGTCTGATAATTCTGTTCTTTACTGTAGTCTCAGGGCTGGTCTACACTGCCACTGAAAGTCAATGTAAATTACACTAGTTAAGTTACATAAGTTTAGTAACGTAAGTCGATGTAACTTCCGCCTCTTGTTG